CGACGCTGATATCTAGTTCACCTTGAGGCGCGCTAGCGAGTAGACCCCAGCGTCTGTCCTTGATCCCGAGCTTAAGCTGCTGATTCTGTCCGGTGTCTTGATCGGCCCCTCATACACCCTAGCGACTATGCCATGTGCCAGACGGACGGCGAACTTGTTACGCGCGCCTTGGGACTTGTCTTCCAAGACTTTAGAAGAGCGCGAAGAACTTGTATGCTGGCGCAGCTCCGAGTATCCTGTGACACATCTCCGAGCATCCTGTGGCATTGCAACAGCTGTGTCTGCGTGTGATTTTTGGGGCGCGCAGGACGCGCCGTGTCCGCCGAACGTGCGCGTAGATCGCGTCCCGTACGCCGTGGAAATCCTTGCGATGCATCATTTGACGTCTTCCCGACGCAAGAATCCAGCATGCCGCACTCTTGTTGCCCCATACACATCCTTTGCGTTCCATCGGATGGATTTCCGCGAGTCCGCGACTCTGTAGAGAAAGTCGGATCTAACGGTGAACTTCCGGAGCGCCAAAGATAACCCTCAATACATTCGGAAGTCGAGGCTACTCGGGCACTACTCTGTCTCAGGGTCCCGCTTGAGTGGCTTCTCCGACGGGCTTTCTAGCTCAGGGCCGCGCTGCAGCTTCTCGGAATAGGACATTCACAGTGTATACTCGACGTCTGAGCGAGCGCGCTAGCTACCATGTTCATTCTGTGCAATGTACGCACGCACACGCGTGCATCCCGCCCGTTCACAGATCTTCCCCGCCTGACGTCCCGCTCCGAACTACGCGCCCCAGTCTACAGAGTCTGCACACCAGCCTCATAGTCTCTGGTGCATTTTCGTCTCCGTGACTATAGCTCACCACCCATATAAGACCCCCGCCCGGTTCCACCTTCTCATCGGACAACGCGTTCACTTCCACTCACTCGCCTTCACCCACCTCCACTCTCCTCGCACTACACCACCCACCATCAGATCAATCGCGATGTTCGCCCTCAAGCCCTTCCTCGCCCTGACCGCCCTCGCGCTTGCCGCGCTCGCCATCCCCGCGCCGCAGGACGACGGGTCCAGCCAATGCGACCCCGACTCGCTCTACTGCTGCGACGCGACCAGCTCGGGCAACTCGACGTACATGCGTGCGGTCGGCAGCGCGCTCAAGATGGACTTGGTTGACGACAAGATGTACGCGACCGGGTGCTCGTCTGCGAACCCCGTCAACGTCGGCGGTGGCGTATCCTGGTGCGCTCGTTTCCGCCTGATCGGATTGGCTGGAAACTGATTGATGGGTATTTGTGAATGAAGCTCGTCGATCCCCGTGTGCTGCGAGGGCAACTCCTTTGGTTAGTCTCAACTCATTATTTTCTGGATCCCGCGACTGAATCGCATCCGCCACGCAGGTCTCATCGGTATCGGCTGCGCTTCCATCCCCGTCAACGTCTAGGCGCTCCTTGCGCCCCCGCCCAGGACGCGCCGCTCTGGCTCCTGGCTATGATGGAAAACTTCTTGGTACGTCCTCTTCTCCTCTCCGCCCCCACATCCCGTTCCTGACGCTTACGTGCCGCAGGATATCCCACGTACATTCTCACCGCGTGGTGGTGCATACGGACTTGCTTGGTTGGAGTCGAAGTGTCGAGTTGTTACGGGTGTTCATACTAGCATATACATGTTCGCATGTCCGCGCCCATCAGGTGCTTTGCGTAATGGAGGCCGCTCGTTGGTCGTGGTTACTATCATGCTCGTGCTTACGGTGTAATCGGGCGACGAGAGCTAGGGCTCAGAGTTTCAATTCGGCGAAGCCGAAGACGACGAGCGTGGACTGTCGCGATGCATCACCGAGGGTCGCTCGTTGGTCGCTGCTATTATCGGTGTCGCGCTTTGATGGATCGGGCTCTCAGTGAGGGCGGCTGGGGTTCATAAGTTTGACTTAACGCAGCAGGAGATGGCAAGCATGATCCATCGTGATGCCGTGCGGTTAGCAAGGCCCTTAGCTCGCGCACGATGCTCGTGTTGACGTTGACCGATGATCGATCAAGTTCGCGAAGGATGACGATGACGGTTGGGATTTACCGTTCAAGCTTGAAGCATGATTTTCTGTACGTGCCATGCGGTGGAGATGTCCAGTCTGCTCAGTTTGCATGAAGAGCCGACTCCCAACCTCAGATCAGAGAGCTGTGACCGACCTTTCATGTCGTGCACAAGACGCCGAAATAGATATGCGAGCTATAGCAGCAGTGACAGACATATATTCTTCGTGCATATAGGCAACTCTTTGTTCGTATTATTTGAACATGGTGGATCATCGTATTTTGGAATAAAGGATCGTCCACGCATCACAGACGATGCTTGAGGTGCCTAAATGCGAAACAGACCTTCGTACGGACCGTACATATCATCGCTAAATAGTTCGTAATGTCTACCTTTATTACTCATCAATGTGCTCCGTGAGCAATGAAACAAGGACTGGAAGACGCGACGTCAAGAAGAGGCACCTTAGCGCGAACCGTGGCTTTATATGGACCATATCAGCACTAACTAGCTAGTCGTATTCGCGTCCATCCCGCGCCAGGAAGTTCATATGAGCAACGAAGCAAGTAACAGAAGACTTGGCGCAGTGAATAGGCGACCTAAGTCGACATTCGACTCCGTTAGCCGAGGTGTACACATATACGCAGTGTTCACGACTCACCATTCACGTTAATCAACCGCCTCGGTGTTCAAGTGAGAGTCAGCCGAGCCCTCTCGCTGTGCAGAGCGCAAGCTTGCAAGCGCCGCCATCATCTCGCCTGCCGCAGGATTCGAGCGATCGGACATCCAGGCCCGGACGGCGGTATGCTCAGGCACCAGCTCGTGAAGGAATGCCGCTACGTCACGCGGATGCTCCATGACGGAGAATTGTAGGAATATCTCATCCAGCGACCTGAATCGCGCGGGACGTCTTGACTGCTGAGGGGGGTTGGCAGGTACCTCTGCTGCATTCAAATCCATGTTGACGTATAGCAGACCAGGATAGGCATCTGCCAGGAGAATGAGGGCCTGCAAAGTCAGGTTAGACTGCTCCCACTCCTCGCAGCAAAGTTTGAGTCGACGTAGGCGAGGCCAAGAGGAGATCATGTCCCTCAGCCGGGTGTTGTCCATTTCTGGTGGAGTAGGGTCGAGTGACACGTCCTCTAGATTGCTTAATGAGAGGAGAGGCCCTATCTCATAGACCCCGATGGCAGAAAGATGGAATCGTTTCAAAAGGTTACGATCGAAAAGGCGTGTCAGCGTTAAGATGAGGCCAGAGAGGTCTGTGTCAGGGATGATCGCCGATATCTGTATATCAAAACTCGTGAGGGGCGCCGAAGAAAAGAGTCGCAGCAATGGTGATATGAAGGTAGTGTAATCGGCTTGGATAAGGAGTTCCTTAACAGACTGGAATGCCGGTCCCCACGCCTCATAATCCTTCGTGGAGAGGGCCAGACTGAAAGACTCTCCCAATGATAACCCCAGGGTAGAGATATTGGGGAATAATGCCAACCACCTCAATACCTCCAGGGCTTTGTTAGCTAAATCTGGCATCTTCATATCGCACTGCCGCAGATTGAAGGCAGGCGTGAAGATACGACTAAGCTTCTCGACATCCCATGTGTCATGTGTTTGGCCGCTGATTGTCAAGTTATCGACGTTGGGTGAGAGGAACGGGACATAGGCTAAGAGCTTGATGGGGAAATTGACACTAGCGACCACTCGCAGAGTCTTAAGCTTCTCCCCAAAGAGGATATTGAAAATGATATGTTGCTGCTCTTCTGGGAATTCTCGAAGCGACAGATTCAGCGTGTGTAGAGATGGCAGCATTGGTATCGAAAGCCGAGTCGCTGCCAGCACGTTGAGGGCAGTAAGGTCGAGGGCATCGTACTGAAGGCGGTCGGAGCTTGAAGCGCCGCGAAAGTTTGGATATGTCAACTCCTTAATTCGATGTGCATAGTGATGAAATCTTTCCCAGTCGTCAGGTTCAAGGCACCTGGTGAAGCGCTTCCAATGAAGATCAAGATCGCCCAAGCTATTGATCAAGCTGGCAAATACTCACAAAGAGCCAATAGTGAAAATGTGGACGAGTATCAGAGAACGTAATCTCCCACGAATTCTGGGGAAAGCATTTCACCAGGTTGGTTAGGCCGCTCTGCTTCCTCCATAGGTTGTCGAGGGCGTAATCGCTAAGGCTGCGACAGACCCTCGCAAGCACGACCAAACCGCGGCGATCTAGATGCTGAACGATCAAAGGCACGATGTCGGGAGATTCAAGACAGTGATGCATGACGAAGTGCAGCGTCAACGGGCGTGCTTGTTGCTTCGGGATCGGGCGTTCAGATATTGACGATTCGACAATGGTGCCCTCCAGGATGCAGCTTGGAGTATTGAGCCGCAGCAATCGGATCTTCAGATCTATCAGGTCAGCAAGGCCTTAATTGGTCCAAGCTTCTCGGCGGATCCCGATTGTACACATAGGTACGAGTATTATTGTTCCCGTCATTGCTGGCAAGCGAGCTAGTCTCTCATTATCGCGCTGGAACTCAATGCCCCATAGATCTAGTAGATTATCAGCTAATGAAGAGGTCGGTTCACCCAGAACACTGTCCTGCACCTGGTGGAAACTTCAGCTGGGTGCGAATGACGTTTTACGAAAGAATCAATTACGATCTGGACTCATGCGTCGCTCAAGCTGTGTGCGAGTGTAGGAGCATGCGAGTTGGATATTTGAGTGACTGAGCACAGAGATTGAGCGAAGTGAACAAGCGGAATGAACATGTCGTCGGAATGCCGCTGCTACCAAAGCTTACACTGCACAACTGTAGGCTACCGCACACTGCCCGTGCGATCGACGCCGATCATATCATGCCGTCACGGTCGTTCACGGATATATGTACACCAGGTTCACATCCATAAGTATCATTCTAGCATGTTTTGCCCGTTGCCCAACAACAGGGAAAAATAGATGAACATTTGAGGGAAGTACAGCAAAATAATAACGACACCAGTGAGATTTGAACTCACGCTCCCATAGGGAAACAGATAGCCGAAGTCAATGATAATCAACTTAATTCGAATCTGTCGCCTTAACCACTCGGCCATAGTGCCTTGAGCAGATATGTCGTATTGAATTTGATCACATTGTGAATCTCCAAATTGTCATCAAAGGATCGCAGCCGCGCAGCCGTTGGCTGAAGGCCACCTCGCCTTGCCCTTCATACCCGCACAACCAATTGCAAAGGTTCATTAGTAGGGCATAGTGCTTCGGGGTCAGACTCTTGCCAAGATGACATACTCAGATATCGGAGCACGAGAGGTCCTTTCGTTCAGGATCTCGTAAGTTAGTCGTAACTCAATATGCTTTGTTTGCTGCGCCAAGGCGTAAGAGTACGAGCCAACTGAGGTGTCTTGCGTGGCTGGGCCTCCTCCAGGTGAACATCATGCAAGCTCTTTGCCATACGCAACAACTGACATGACAATTTTGGTTCGCCACCTTCTCATGCCGCTGGTCCACCCTGATATCTTACTCTTGATGCAGCCTTGGGTGAGACTCTTTACCAATGTCCTCTCTGTTCCGTGCTTAGCACCCCAAAATCCTTGAACGTCTTTTTACGATAAGAGATCGATACACAGTGAAGACTTTGATCACCCAACCTACATGGGCCCGCGTTCCATCCGAGGAGTCCACTATCTCGGCTTTTTGCACGCGGCGACCGGCAAGTGATACGACTGTCTCACGACTTTCTTGCGAGTTGCCCTGTCAGAAGGACAGGGACTGCATGACGTCGCTTCCGAGTCCCTGGGAACAGATCATCCCCCGTCATCTCCGAGGCTCATGCGCCTCTACAGCGCCGCTCGTTGCAGATCCTGCCGCTCAAGCTTCATTGACATCAAACTCCAAGTCATTTTTGCATCGATGATGCATAATGTGCTCGTTCAACGTCTTACTGGCCTTCGCATATGCGCACCCCGTCCTCGCGCAGATGCTGAACTCCCCGGTCTCCCGACCTCGGAAATAGCAGGAACCGCACGCCCAGAGCGGATGGTCGCAATAATGGCGAGGACAACTACGTCGGAAGCGGCAACACCACCAGTACATACTCCCCGGCGCAAATACAGTGCAGCGACATCGACGCGGCGGCGACTCCGCGCATATACTCAGCCGCTGTTGGCAACGTGCTCGAGATAGACTTCGACCCGACCACCATGGACGCCACCGGGCGCAACGCGCGCACAGCTCTTAATGCCGCCCGGAGGAGCTTCCATGCAGCGATATTGTGGCCTTTACACCGCCCAATCATAGGTTATCATGACTGGGCACGACTCCACGCCAGTGTGCTACTCTGACATCGGGTTTGGCGGCGAAATCTCGGTGTCCTTAGTACGCCGCGTGGAGCATAATTCATCATTTTAAGCCTCACACACAATACGCAGAATTGAATGGTGAGCTCATTGCTATTGGCTGTATCACTGTACCTGGTCTCAGTCCGCCTGATGTGTCCTCACCATGGTCTCTTATCTGTAGTCAGACCAAAGTGCGCTCGCTTCTCTCGCGTGCTCGGCGACGATATGGAGCTGCTCAATGCGATGTCCCTCTGAAGTCTGATGTGCCCCGGAAAAGTTCTCAATAACATCAGCTCCGACGCGTCTGTGGCTGAAACCCCACCCGTCGGATACGCACTCAAGCTTCGCTGGTACACGTGATCGCGATTGCCCTCTCTTCGGAAGGGCTCGAATGCCCCAGGTTCTGCACAGCGATCGCTTCGGACTTCTGACCAGGATCCCTTCTCTAGACCAGTGCTTCGCCCCGGAGCCCGCGGAGAGGTGGATCGTTTTGTCTGCAAGCCATCTGCAAATGTCGCGGAACGTGAGTGCTTGGCGATTTCACGGGCAAATCTCACAGCTGCGGCACCACCGCGCGAAGCATCCGGTCACCTAGTAGAGCTTTGTCCCTACTTCTTACCAGGAACTTGAAGAGATTGCGATTGTCTTCTGTCACTGCTTAGTCGGATCATGTTCATGAAGAGTGCAAACTCACTCGCTCGACGTGAGACACCGATGTCAGTATCTCTTCTGCAGTTGATAAATTGGTGTCTTCGCCGAAGAAGACCCTTTGCTCCATGCCATTCCTGTTCCTGGAGCCCGAAACCGACGCTGATCGACGCCTTTCGCTTGCCACTTCTCGCTCATCTTGCCGCTATCCGCTCGTGCTGTTCCCAAGTCCGCGGTATGTGGACTACACTCGACTGAACTCGAGTTCATGTCAATCGTATTCGTAAGGATAAAAGCCTTGTCGCGCATCACCGACTCCCCAGTTGCACGCTCACTGCAGTCGTACTTCCTCTCCTTACTGGTCGCTCTTTCAAACTCTCCGTGCCCTTCACCATGTATGCACTCAAGTCCCTTGTCGCCTTCACACTCCTCGTCGTCCCCGCTCTCGCCGTCCCCCAAGGCGGATGCAGCCCCGCACAGATACAGTGCTGCGACAACTCGGCTCCTGGCAACTCCGACCAGATGCACGAGGTCGGCAAGGCGCTCAAGCTGAACATCGACCCGAGCGAGACGTACGGCATCGGATGCACCCCTGGCGGTACTGTCGGCGGTGGCGAGAGCTGGTGAGCTGCAAAAGGGCTGTAAACCGACAGGATGAAGGGCTGACGGACAATAGCACGAGCACCCCCATGTGCTGTGAGAACAACACCTTCGGTGGCGAACCTGGCACTGGTCTGCTTGGACTCGGTATGTATTCATTTGACGTATGGAATACCTGGTTTATCATCATATGTGCCCATAGGCGGCCTCATCAACGTCGGCTGTGTCCCCCTCAAGAATACTTTGTAGTCGGGCCGAAGCAAGCAGGTGGCATGGAGCATGTCCAGAGAGGGTTTTGGACTCAGGAACATTGTACTGATGATGGATTGCCCGTTAACAATCAAAATCATGCATTGCGTCGCTAGACTACTTGGAACCATTCTTTGCCTGTATAGAGAATGCTACGCATGGACGAATACAAGACGTCCGACACGAGCATCACTTCAAAGGTAGGTGATCCCTATATCACAAAAAGTCCTTATAACCCGTTTGGTGACGCCCTGTTGAGATGTTAGTCATCATCGAGTTCATACGTGGTGCAACAATTACGTTAGATAAAGAAATGTATGAACGCGAGGTACGCGCGACAAAGCGCTCTTCATAGATCGATGGGCGCGCAGCGAAGGCTAATCAGATCTAAAATGTGTGCGCCATTAGCAACCTCCCATACCATCGCTAATCTGACTCGTACCTCCAGAATCGCTGCTCTCGCTGCATATCGTCAGGCTGGAGTCCCTCGAGTAGACTGTGCCATAGATGTTCCTTGCGTCAGCTGCGGGAATGTGGTATGAGTCACCCGGCACGGCGATGTTACAAAAATGGATCTGGGCGGGACTGCACTCACTGTCGCTGCGCCTGCCGTTACCGCCGTTACCACCACTGCCGCCGCCGCCGCCATTGCCGCCACTACCGCCGTTGCCGCCGTTATTGCCTCCGGTGTTTCCGCTGTTTCCGCCACCACTGTTTCCGCTACCGCTGTGCCCGCCGTTGTTGCCCCCATTGTTTCCGCCGTTGTTCCCTCCATTGTTGTTGCTGCCACCATTGTTTCCGCTGCCGCTGTTTCCGCTGTTTCCGCTGTTTCCGCTTCCGCTGTTACCGCTGTTGCAGCCGCCACTGCTGCTGCTACCACCATTGCCGCCGGTACCGCCATTGCCGCTGCCGCCACTGCCGCCGTCGCCCTGCGGGTGCGGGGCCGCAAGGACGAGCATGGGCGCGAAGAGGAGGGCGAACACGATGACGGACTTGAAAGAGACCATTTTCGCCTGTTGGGCCGATATGGAGAGTGAAGAGGGTGGAAGAGCGAGGATGAGTAGAGGAACAAGTAGCTGCGGACAAAGACGTTGCTGCAGACTGTGCCAGCGACGTGCAGCTTTTGTAGAAACCGTGGCCCTGCGGAGGGCGATCACGTTCGTGGACACCCCGACGAGCGCGGCGAGCGTGGATGGCGGCACTGTTGTGGAACCGGACTCTTCACTTCCAGTAGTGAACTCTCAGAGCCATATGAGGGTCTGTGATGGACTGATGGTCCAAGGAACCCTCTCCCGAGAGCGTGAATGGAGGCAGTGTTGCCGGGCCGGAAGACTCAATTCAAGCAGAGAATCATTGGAGCCATATGAGGTTCTGAGAGGGTCCAAGGCACCACAGAATTGTAGGGCCGGACGGACTCTTGAGATGAAGACTTTAAGATTGTAAACACAGGTCTGAGAAGGCCCATTCTTCGTGTCGCACAGGGCTTCTTTGTTATCACAGCCCTTCCAAGCAAGTCTTATTCAGAAGCCGTTCTGCATGATCATTAGGCTGAACTCGACCTTGCTCTCTGTGCCGGCGAGTGACAGACACAGTATCGTCGACAACAAGGATGTCGTCGTCTAGCAGGTACAGACTGAGACATGCATCCTGTAAAGACTAGGTCCGAGTCGGATGCATCCCTGGAAGTCGTTGTGAGCAATACTACTGGAGCGACCTTGACGGAGCTGACCAAAGCGCGATCGACGCTCGACGAAAGAAAGAACGAAAGCAGCACAGGTTCGCGCGCGCGACAGCATCGTCTCTCACGCCCCCGGACCTCCCCGGACCGACACCCCTCCCACTCGCCTATTACAGACACGTTAGTCATGCTCACGCGCCCATTACCGATCGCGGCGCTTCTCCTCTGACCCATACGCGATCGGTCACAATACACGTGGGTGTTACTTACTCCTCACGGGCGGGTAATCCGACCAGCAAAACGACACCTCCATCTTCTCCATTCAGTCACCGTTCTTTTGATCTTCCAGTGCCTGGGAGCCGAAATAAGTCAAGCTTTAGGATCTGCCTAAACATTGCCTTGTTCTGCTGGATGTAAGAACGCAGCTCACCTGATGCGGCATCAGGAAAGCCTCGATTTGCCCCCTTCAAGTTTCACCAGGTGGGACTCTGCGAATGCACCGTTGAGCGGCCGGTATTAGTATGACTGATCTTTTCTTCCCCAATGCGCTTTATCTGCGTCCTTAATGATGTTTTCCCTCCACCTACAA